CCATGAGGTGCGTGCGAGGGATAGGAGGCGGACGCTCACGAGGAACACGACGACCAGTACGACCAGTGCGAACAGTGCGAACAGGCGAGACAAGACGAGACGCAGGCTCACGACGCTCAGCAAGACCTCTTGTCTGCTCAATGTATGGAGAAGGAGCAGGCAGTGGGTAGCCAGGATTTAACGGAAGACCAGTAGAAGACGGGAGGCTAAGAACCTGGCGAAGCACGGAGTCAGGCGGTGGCAGAGACGATGGTGACGGCGGAGCGAAAAAACAGTCGTGGCTGTGCAGTGCCACCAGCACCAGTAGCTCCAGCACCTCCAGCAGCTCCAGAACCCCCAGATCCAGCTCCTCCAGCGCCAGCACCTCCAGGAGCTCCAGAACGTCCAGCGCCAGCACCTCCAGCGGCTCCAGAACGTCCAGCGCCAGCACCTCCAGTACCAGCGCCACCAGCAGCTCCAGAACCTCCAGCTCCAGCGCCTCCAGCGCCAGCACCTCAAGCGGCTCCAGAACCTCCAGCGCCAGCGCCACGAGCACCAGCACCTCCAGCAGCTCCAGCACCTCCAGCGCCAGCACCTCCAGTACCAGCACCTCCAGCAGCTCCAGAACCTCCAGCGCCAGCACCTCCAGTACCAGCGCCACCAGCAGCTCCAGAACCTCCAACGCCAGCACCCCCAGAATCAGCGCCACCAGTAGCAGCACCCCTAGATGCAGCACCTCCAGCCCCAGGGTCTCTAGCCTCAATGTCTCCAGCAGCAGCACCCCCAAAAACGGCACCTCCAGCTCCAGGGTCTACAGCAGCACCTCCAGGTCCAGCAGTACCTCCAGCCCCAGCAGCTCCAGTACCTCCAGTACGAGCACCTCCGGGACCAGCGGCTCCAGTAACTGCAGTAGACGCGCCTCCAGTAGCAGAGTCACCAGCTCCAGTGCCTCCAACGTCAGCGCCTCCCGCAGCAGAGCCCCCAGCTCTAGCAGCGCGACCCTGACGGCTAACGTACCACTCACGCAGCTGCTTTGTGGAGAGAGGCACACGCGGACGAGAGTGCTGCGGCGAGGCACCAGCGGAGCGACTACGTAGGCGGCCGCTCCAAGGAGACTGCTCACCAGGCGCCGCAGTACCCCCAGACTCAGTACCCCCAGACTCAGCACCCCCAGGCTCAGCACCCCCAAGCTCAGCACTCTCAGGCAGAGCACCCCTGGGCTCCGCACCCCCAGGCTCAGCACCCCCAGAAGCAGCACCCCGAGCAGGACCACCCCCAGCAGGACCTGAGTCATTAGTGACCTCAACAGGCCCAGTCAAGGGAGGAGGGTCTACCTAAGACACACCTGAAGGAGCAGGACCTGGAGGGGGGAGGGGGTCTACCTGGGGGGGACCTGAAGCGAGAAAGAGCGGCGGGGGGGGAAGAGGGGCAGGGCGGTAGGGAAAAAGACGGTAAAAGGGGACCGACTCGTCAAAGGTGACGTCCTGAGACGCAAAGACACGGCGCGAGGCGGGGTCGTAAAACTGCCAGCCATGCACGTCAGGGGGAAAGCCAAGGAAGACGAAGGGAATGGCCCGAGCGGAGAGCTTGTCCGCAGTGGTATCTCGGACAAAGGCACGAGCACCCCAGACCCGGAATCGCGACGCATCGCCAACCTCCCCCGTCCAACGTAGTATGGCCGAAGTCTCCGGCACGGAGACACGGGGCCAGAGGTTGAGCTGATGCGCAGTGTACCGTACCGCAAACGGCCACAGAAAATGGGGAGCAGCCGCATAGATCATGGAGGTACGAGCGACCTCCATGACTAAGCCAATGCGGCGCTCAGCAACCCCATTCTTCTGCGGAGAGGCCGGAAGCGTGAACGACTGGCGGATGCCCTGCTCCTCACAGAAGGCTCGCAAGAGGTCGGAGGTGAACTTACCACCTCTGTCAGAGTGCAGACGCAGGATAGGAAAGTCCGAGTTGGAGACGAACAGCGCAGATCCACACGTCCAGGTGGAGGGTCTGCAGAGGAGCCTCTGTCAAGGGAAACGAGGAGGAGTGAGGAGCGGCGCGCTGCCGCCCCTCGATGCAAGGAATGCAGGGCGGCGCAGGCGAGGGAGGGAGGGAGGGCAGAGACCTGGGAAGACCAGAGTCCAGGAGGCGGGAGTGCATGCCACGGAGGCGTGGTAGGGAGGGGTGACCAAGGCGGTGGTGCCAAAGGAGAGTCTGGTGCGACAGGCGGCGACACTCACACTGGGTAGCTACCTGAGCGGACGCGTACAGCTGAGGAGACAAAGGGGCGTAGTGCAACGCAGTGGTGAGGGTGTACAGATTGGATCCAGGCGCACATGTGAACGTGGCCAGGTGACGGCCTGTCCGAGAGCACGTGCAGATCACCACGCGCTGTCCTCCAGGAGTAAAGGTGTCAACCCAATGATCCTGAAGGACGGCGGTGCTCACCAGGTTCGTAGAGAACGAGGGGAGGTGGAGACCTGACAGCTCACTAGACGGGACCGCCGGGCACGGAAGCACAGTAGTGGACCGTGCAAGCACCGGGCCCCCAGAGGGGTCAGCCAGTGAGACAGGGACAGGTGCAGGGAGGGGAGTGACTATGGTACTGTCGCGAAAGAAACAGCGGGAAGCACCAGAGTCAAGTGTAAAGGTGTGCAAGGCCTGAGCCGACGTAGTACCAGGGAGAGCAGACTCACTAGCACCTAGGGCTGAAGTCTCTATACCTGAGCCAGGCGGCACACACAAGTAGCAGTCACCCTCAGCACTAACAGTCAATGCATACATGGCAGCAAGTGCATCATAGTCAAGATCAAAGATAGGAACATCACGCCTAAGCAGGTCTGCCTAGTAGGGAAGCTCAGTAGCATCAGGAAACTGCGCACGCCAGGCGTCGTCCAGCCTAGAGAAGCAGCGGCACTCGGTGTGAAACTTGTTGCACGTCTGACCAGCGCGTTCACCAGTGCGAATGCGGTAAGGGCAGCGACCACTACCCCCAGACGCCCCACGCTGAGCGTACCAGTCACGAAGTTGCTGGGGCGTGCGGGGCTCGGGTTGACGCTGCTGCTGCTGGCGCTGGCCACTGCCAGCACCTCCACGCTGACCAGATCCACCACGGCCGCCACCACCGCTGGTACCACCGCTCCCACCGCCATCACCACCGCCGCTGCTGCCGCCACTACTACCGCTCCCACCCCCGCCTCCTCCACCACCACCACGCGCACCGCTGCTGCCACTGCTGCCACCGACCCCTCCACCCCCGCCACCACCCCCACCACCACCACCCCCACCGCCGCCTCCTCCACCACCACCTCCCTCGCTACCAGTGCCGCCACCCTTGCCTCCCTTGCCCTTTCCGCTGTGGCGCTTCCCAGCAGAAGTAGAAGCGGCACCGACCTCCTCAGCACAAAGGAGGTCAACAGTAGCAGCAGAGGCGTGGGAGGGGACAAGGGGGGAGGGGGCACACCCCTCAAAGAGGGGAGTGCGGGGAGTGCCACGAGCAGCACTGACACCTACGATGTTGGACTCAGCTGCAAGCAGGTGCTTCTCGAGGTCGTCGACGGTGAGGTCGGTGGGGGGAAGGGCTAGAAAGTGGTCCCTGACGACACGAAGAGAGTCAGGGAGTCGCGTGACAATGAAGTAGAGTGTGATGTACATCGGGGGAGGGTTCTTGTCTAAGAACTCGGTCGGGAGGGAGGCGCGGTAACAAGCGTCACTAGCGCGGAGATGAGTGATAAGGTCCTCAGCTGTGGCAAAGCAGGAGAGCTCAGGAAAAAGGTAGGGTAGGATAAGGCGGTTGAGGGCAGCAGTGGCAGGAGAAGAGTAGCGAGCGATGACAGCAGCGTACAGTGCTTTAGCGGTTTTGTGCTGGCCAAAGTGGGTGCGCTCGGCTAGAGGCAAGTGGTTGCGAATGGCTAGGCGTGCAGTAGCATCACGGGTAAGCCACTTTGAGTGAGCGACGCTATCAGCTGTGTCTGGAGCGATTGAGGAACCTTTGGCTAAGTCAAAGAGCGAAACGCCGTCCTTGGCATCAGTCATAAGATACAGCTGAAGATCTTCTAGCCAGGCATCGAACTCGACTGGGCGACCTTCAGGGTCGAACGACAGTACACTAATAGAAGCCATGGTCACTGCAGCATGACAGTAGAGGCAGCACGCGGACGGCAAGGGCTACGTGAGGGCGGTAGGGGCGGTACGCGAAGCTGCAGAGATAGGGGAGGAGCAGCAAGGGCGGAGGAGTGGTGCGCGCGGAGCAGTAGAGGCAGTACGAGGGCTGCTAAGGCAGTGGGAGGGCAGCTAAGGCAGTGGGAGGGCAGTACGAGGGCTGCTAAGGCAGTACGAGGGCTGCTAAGGCAGTGGGAGGGCAGTACGAGGGCTGCTAAGGCAGTGGGAGGGCAGCGCGCGGGGCTGACGAGGCAGCGGGCGGGCCGCGCGGGCCGCGCGCGGGGCTGACGAGGCAGCGGGCGGGCTGTGCGGGTATCGCACGGGGCTGACGAGGCAGCGGGCTGGCTGCGCGCTCGCGGGTCAGTACAGGCAGCGCGAGGGCTGAGAGGCGGCGCGCGGGGCAGTAGAAGGTAGCGCGAGGGCTGCGGAGCGGCGCGCGGGGCAGTAGAAGGTAGCGCGAGGGCTGCGGGGCGGCGCGCGGGCCTGACGAGGCAACTGGCGAGCGACGCGTGGGGCTGACGAGGCAGCGGGCGGGCTGCTAGCGGGCTGCACGAGGGCCAGCAGAGGCGAGCGCGAGGGCTGCGCGACTCAGGGCAGTGTAGGCAGGGGGCGAGGTAACGCGGTAACCGGCTGAAAACGGTTGGTGGGCCCTGAAAAACAGTCCTAAAACGGTCCTAAGGACCTATTTTCTCTTAATACCATGTTGAAAGTAAAGGGAAGAAAAGGTGTGTTGACTATCGAGAGTGTTGGGTACAAGTAACAAACCCTATACCCTACAGTGGCTACCCCACTACAGCCTAGATATCATTATCACATAAACAAATAGTTCGACAATTATAATACATACATATAGGGACGGTGGGCGGCTAGGGCAAGTCCGTGACGGGCGCAAAACGCGGGCGCAACGGGGCTAGGGGCGGCCCCGCGGCGGACTGAACGAGTAGGCGCAGCGGTGCGAAGGAAGGGTCTAACGAGCGGGCCCGCAGCGGACTTAACGAGGAGGCGCGGCGGCTGTAAGGGAGGGCCCACGGCTGCTGTAAGGGAGGACCCGAGGCGTGCCTAACGAGCAGGCGCGGCGGCGGGCGGTATGGGCAGGCGCGGCGGCTGTAAGGGAGGGCCCGCGCGGCTGTAAGGGAGTGCCCGCGGCGGGAATAACGAGCAGGCGCGGCGGCGGGCGGTACGGGCAGGCGCGGCGGCGGGACGAGCGGGCCCGCGGCCGGGCCTAACGAGTAGGCGCGGCGGCAGGCGCGGCGCGCGAGCGGGCGTTTAGGGCAGCGGGGGGAGGACGCGACGCGACGTGCAGGGTGGGAGGGCACGTCGCGACGAGCAGCGGGGGAGGGCGTGACGGGACGGGAAGCCGGGGAGAGCGCGACGCAACGGGCAGGGGGAGGGGGAGGCGCTACGCTACGCAGAAAGTGGGTCGGCGGAGCGAGCGCTAACGAACGAGCGAGACTGGATCGGGCCGGCGCTAGGCTCGGCCAAGACGGGTACGACTAGTACGAGAGAGCGAGACTGGATCGGGCTGGCGCTAGGCTCGGGCAAGACGGGTACAACTAGTACGAGAGAGCGAGACAGGCTCGGGCGGAACGAACGAGGACGGGAGGAGCGGGATCCCACAGGATCCTAACCTAGGTGATACCATGTTAAGAATGAAAGTGTTGTGTTATTGATGATGGTTGGGGTACATACCCTAACATTTGTACACCCTAAGACAAACCTCACTACAAGCTACAACATTTCAGAGTACCCTACACAGAAGTACCCACCCATTCAAGCACAACAGGAGCAGTTGTTTTAGCCCACAAGGCCTTTACAATTGTATTGTGAAGGTACAGGTAAAATTGTAGATAGGATCAGTGCATTCTGCGGATCAGCATCATCTCACACACCAAAATTGCAGATTCCACAGCAACAAGCATAACACCACCACCGCCGTTGATGAGGCCACCTCATCATATCGTAAACCTAAACGCCAAGGCTCTAGAACAACTACCAAATCAGGAGAAGACAACAACCTTCTTATCCGCGCCGGCCCGCTTCCAGACGACTCCGAACGCCCAGTTTTCGTACCTGCCATTGCCAAGATTCTTCACACAGAAACGGCCCTTCTTGTAATACACGGTGAACTTCAATCTATCCCCGGAATGCCGCACCTCCACCTGCGCGGACGCCGGGTCGCCCTGCACGGAATGCTTGCTCTGAATGACCATCACGTTGTACCCAGCGTTCATGAATATCTCCACGATCGACTGAGTCACCGCGTCGTCTCTTGGTCCGTCAATCGTGCCCAAGTTGCCGGCAATGATATGTTCCTCAGTCAAATCGTCCCAGCTGAACAAAATTTGCTCCACCCTGTGCGGGGATACCGCGGAATCTGCTCGGGCGAGCGCAAGGCGGGTGGCGACGCCGCATGTTGCGCCGGTGTCTGGGGGGGACGCGTGCATGCTAGACCGCGCTGCACTGGTGCTGGTGACGGCGAAGAGGAGCAGGACGGAGAGGGTGAGAGGAAGAAGCTTGCGAGCCGAGTCACGCCAGGCGTTGGCCATTGAGAAATCGGTTGGACGATCGTATCTCAGATGTACAATTTGGCAGAGACTAACAATCAGCGGTGAAAATCTAACCTTGCACGTTAACGCGAGTGAATTTCACACAGGAGAATTCAGATCCGTGAGCCGCGAGGTGCTTGGTATGCAAAATCGAAGGCAGGAAAGAGGAAACGGAGACAGAAGCTGTGATGATTGTGGTGATTCGCAGCGTCTAATTTATTGCCCTTGGCATAGTTCGCACTTGGAGCTGGACTCCGACGTGAAGGCGGACTGCGCCTCGCTTGAGCCTCTATTGCCTATGATGAGCGTACAAACTACGCTCGGACGTAATTGACACGTGAGAAATGAAGTTGCTCGGGTCCGACTAGGCCGTTGGTAGCGGAGATACGGAATAGCTAATGCAGGTAAGTCATGGAAGCAGCTGATGAGGCGTGTCGAGGGGTGGAAGGGAAGGGTGGAAGCGAAGGGGACAATCTGGGCAGAGAGGGAGGTAGGTTGCTTCGCTGCAAGGGAGATTCGGCCCGCCCGTTGGCGAAATCGATGACCTTGAACACGCGTTGTAAGGAATTTTCCCGAATTCCTTATCGGGGTTGACTGCTACGCGTACAGCCCGATTTTCGGACTTTGCACGTTCGGCCGATTTCAACGCTGCCGAGGCTCCTCGCGTCGCCTTCGGCATTTCCCATCGCCAAACCTGCACCACAACCTCGCTCGTCCGAGGTTTCCTCCTAGCTAGGCTAGCCCCTACATTAGTCTGTGCCTTCATTGTTTTCTCATATCAGTTAATCACAATCTCGTTATTCGTTTACCTGCGCACTCCCTTTTACAAATTATAGCACCTGGTATCAGAGCTACTTTCCTAGTTCACCCCGCTTTTCCGAGGGTAGTTTGGTGGCATAGGGTGTGGCTGGTTTAGTGACTACACGACGGTTGGCTGCAGGGATTGTTAATTCAATCCTGCCCGACTCCGATAGTTCGTGTTTTCACTTGCCTGAAGGCCACGGATATCCGACTGCCCACCAGACGTAGCGCTAGGCACATGGATCAGGAGGCGGTCAACAGATTGATGGCGTAAGTGGCAGAAATGCAGGACAGCATGAAGTCGTTAATGGCGGAAGTGACAACACTGCGTGAAGAAAACGCCGAGCTGCCCCAGACGCGAGGTGAAGCGCGTCAGGTGTCGCCCGAGGACGAAGGCGAGGGCAACAGTCAAGCGGTGAGCAATCCCTTGGACGCGCTCACACGGGACTTCGAAGAGGAGGACAGGCAGCGAGCGGCAGCAGCGCCAGTTGCAGTAACGACGATTAAGATCAAACCTGTCAACCCGCCCCCGTTTAATCCTACGGACAAGACAGTTACAGTGAAGGGGTGGTTGTTCGGGGTCGAGGTCTTCTTCACTGCAGCAGGAGTTAATGACGACGCCACGTGTATTAATTACGCGGTTTCGCTTCTTCGAGGTGCAGCGCTTGAGTGGTGGCGCCGAACCTTAGGAACGGGGACGCCGACAGGTGTGATGCATGCGGCAGACGGGACCTCAACAGTGACTAATCAAGTGGCAGAACCGATCTTCGGAGTGACCAAGATACGCACGTGGAAGGAGTGGGGCGCAGCCTTACGAGATCGCTTCGAGCACGTATCCGCCTCGGAGCAAGCTCGCATGAAGCTGCGTGCATGGTCGCAGATGGCTTCTGTCCAAGACTACACGGCATCATTTATGGGCCTCGCCGACCAAGTTGATGACATGTCGGAAGCAGAGCGGTTGGATAAATATATCAGCGGCCTCAAATACGAGATACAGTACGAGGTTCGCAGGGGCCGCCCGACATCATTCCTTGAAGCAGTACAGCTGGCGGAGTCAACAGATGTGCTGATGCAGTACGCGAGAGCAGCTTCCAGGGATGGAAACCGCTTTCGTGGCCAGACCCATCGGGCCACGATCAACGCCGTCCATACACCCGACCGCCCTCCTAAGGAAACGTGTTACCAGTGTGGGAAGACGGGTCACTACATGAAAGACTGCCACGAGAAAACGCCGCTGACGGGGAACGACAGGAAGGAGCAAGGAAATGGGAAGAGTCAGTAATTAGCGGGCCCTTTACTGACTGTGCTCCGTCGCCCGAAGCCCACCATCCCCACCGAGTCGTGGTTCCGATTCATGCAATCGATCGCACTCGGCCGAATAACGGGGATACACATGTGGATCACCCTGTGCTGGTCGCTGGCAAGGTGTTAAAAAATAACTTGAAAATGTTCGTCGAGGGTTACAGGCATGTTGGCCTGGGGGGTTATGGGCGCACTGACCCGCTACTGAAGCAAGCCCTTTTATCCCAATGGTCTAGTGGCTGGGATTCTGACATGGTATCAGAGCAAAGGTCTCGGGTTCGAATCCCAGTGTGTGCACTTCGGGCATCCCAGTGCGGGGGGGTGTCAGAGGTCCACTGGTGATCCCCGATTGATCCTAGGGAAGGGTTACAGGCATGTTGGCCTGGGGGGTTATGGGCGCACTGACCCGCTACTTAACAAGCCCTTTTATCCCAATGGTCTAGTGGTTGGGATTCTGACAGCTGTCTGCTTACGCGAGTTGGCAGTTGACACTGACGGAAAGGACATCGAGAAGCTGTGTGCAGCTGTACCGCCGGATTTAGCGGAGCTGATTCGACAGTACCCCGACATTTTCCCCGACGACCTGCCACCTGGACTGCCACCCGAGAGACCTGAGGACCACAAAATCCAGCTGGAACCTGGCGCGCAGCCGACTGTTCAGACACAGTGGCGGTTGACCCAGCCGGAACTCGAGGAGCTGCAAAGTCAAATTGACGCACTGTTGGAGAAAGGGTTCATTCGGGCCAGCACATCTCCCTTCGCAGCACCGATCCTGTTCACTCCGAAGAAAGACGGCGGGCTTCGCATGTGCATCAACTATCGCGCGCTGAACCGGGTCACCATCAAGTCTCGCTACCCAATCCCACGCACCGACGACCTCCTCGACCAACTTCGCGGCGCTCGCTATTGCCCGAAGATTGACTTACGTGGCGGTTACCACCAGATTCGAGTCTTCGCCGACGATTGTCACAAGACTGCGTTTCGCACACGCTACGGGAGTTACGAATTTACAGTGATGCCCTTCGGCCTCACGAACGCGCCTTCGACATTTCAACTGACCATGAACAGGGTTTTTTGGGATCTTCTAGACCGTTGTGTCATCGTCTACTTGGACGATATCCTGATTTTTAGCAAAACAATGGAGCAGCACCTCCGCGACCTGGATGCAGTGTTTAAGCGGCTGCAGGAGAACCGACTCATCACCAAGGGCTCTAAGTGCGAGCTTTATTTGCAGGAGGTGGAGTTTTTGGGGCACGTCATCTCACGCGACGGCATCAAAATCGACCCGGCGAAAATCAAGACCACACAGGAGTGGAAGTCCCCGATGAATGTTACGGAACTTCAGAGTTTTCTCGGATTCGCGAATTTCATCAGGCGGTTTATCCCGAATATGGCGGGTATAACCGGCCCGCTGACCAACCTGCTGCACAAGGACAGAAATTTTGTGTGGGGGGAGGAGGCAAAAGCGGATTTCCAGGAACTCAAGGATTTTCTCGTTTCCCCTCCTGTGCTGCGCATCGCCGACCCATCGAAGCCGTTCGAAGTCGTCACCGACGCCTCAGATTTCGCCATCGGAGCTGTGCTACTCCAAGATTTCGGGAACGGGCTGCAGCCGATCGCCTACGAATCACGCAAGCTGCAGGCAGCCGAACGCAACTACCCGATCCATGACAAGGAGATGCTTGCCATAATACACGCGTTCAAACTGTGGCGCTGCTACTTGGTGGGCGCCAACGTCACTGTTCGCACGGACCACAAGTCCCTACAGTACCTGCGAGCCCAGCCCAACCTCAACCCGTGAAAAATTCGGTGGCTGGACTACATGGAGAGCCAGTTCACCTACCGCATCACGTACAAGAAAGGGGCGAATAACATCGCTGACGCCCTGACCCGACCGACAGTACAATCCGCTGCAGTACTCATCACCCATTCGAACCCGTTACTTACAGGACTATTCAACCACGGCTACACTACGGACCCGTTCTTCACGACTGGGAACCATCAGCAGGCCACGACGCAGAAAGGGGATTATTACCTAAAAGCCGGAACCGACCGGATTTGGGTTCCCGCTTACAGGCTGCTGCGTGAACTCCTTATCCAAGAGGTCCACGATTCGAACTTCTCCGGACACTTCGGGGTTGATAAAACCCAGAAATTACTGCACCGTCAAAATTACTGGCCTGACTCCTCTAACGACGTGCAGCGATATGTGACCTCATGTAGGGTGTGCCAAGCCATGAAATCGACACGTCAACGACCAGCTGGGCTGCTGCAACCCCTAGAGCCACCCGAACGCCCGTGGCAGCAAGTGGCAATGGGTATTTGTCACGAGGACGCCAACTGGGCCGTCCGGCAACGACGTTGTGCTCGTCGTTGTCGATCGCTTCACGAAAATGGCGCATTTTGCCCCATGCCGAACGACAATCACAGCCGAAGAAACTGCGCCCCTCTTCATTTCAACGGTCGTGCGACTGCACGGCATCCCTTCGGCGATCATCAGCGAAGTTTACACCTGGAAGGAGACGTGGGCGCAGTACAGCACGAAACTACAGTTCTCATCGGCTTATCACCCACAGAAGGACGGCCAGACCGAGCGGACCAATCAGACCATGGAGCAGCTGATCAGGACAAACTGCCCCGACCCTGCCCGCTGGGAAGAATCTCTCGCCATGTTGGAGTTCGCCTTCGACAACGCACCGTCCAGTACGACTAATCACTCACCGTTTTTCATGAATCGCGGGATGGACCCGACGGTTCCTACGGCGAATTCTCTCGACAGTCCCGCGGTCACAAACCTTTGTGACAGAACTTCAAGAAGTCCGAGAAAAAGCCGCAGACTCAATTTGCAAGGCGAATATAACTTCCCGAAAATACACCGACCTCCTACGCCGGGAACT